TGGTATCTCCTGGGTAAAGGATGGGAGATTACCATGAAACAAGTAATTATACAGTTAATGCAATGGGTTGTCATTAGACATACAATGAATGTAATTCATCACGTCAACAAAATAATTTATTATCTCAAATATTTGCAGAAAAGCATTTTATAAAATTTGAACATCTATTCAAAATTTTAAAATTTTTATTTTATTTATTTTTTTAAAAGATTTTATTTATTTATTTGACAGACAGAGATCACAAGCAGGCAGACAGAGAGGCAGGCAGAGAGAGAGAGGAGGAAGCAGGCTTCCTGCTGAGCAGAGAGCCCGATGTTGCGATGTTGCGGGGCTCCATCCCAGAACCCTGGGATCATGACCTGAGCCAAAGGCAGAGGCTTTAACCCACTGAGCCACCCAGGTGCCCCAAAATTTTACAGATTTTAAAGAAAATTAGAAATAAAAGGATATCTATAAAACCAAATGTGATACTTAATGGTAAAAAGCCAAAGTTTGCCTTTGGGATCAGGAACAAAACAAAGATGTCCGCTATTACTCCTTTTATTCAACAATGAATTGTCTATGACCAATGAATTGGTCTAGTCAGTGCATTTAGGCAAGAAAAAGAAACAAGGACTGGAAATGAAGAGATAAAATTGTCCTTTGTAGTTAAGAAAATCCAAGAAATTGGATTAAGTTAAGAAAATCCAAGATAATCTATGGATAAAGTATTACTATAAATGAGTTAAGAAAGTTTGCTGGATATAAGGTTATTGTTCAAAAATCAATTGTATACACATGACAAATAGCGAAATTAAGAAAATGTTATTTATAATAGCATAAAGTAATCAAATACTGAAGAATAAATGAAAGATGTATAAGACAGAGGTCTATAAAGTACTATTTAGAGAAGTTTTAAAAGATAGAAATAAATAGATATACCATATCCATAGATTGAAATAGTCAGTATATTAAAGGTGTCAATTCTCCATTAACTGACCTATAAATTTACAGATGCAATGCCAAGGAAAATTCAATACGTTTTGAAAAATAGAAGTTAGTAAACTGAATATCACATTTATATGGAAATGCAAAGGACCAAGTGTAGCCAAGATAATCATGAAGAACTAAATAGGACAACTTGCCGTACTAGATTTCAAAAACTTACTACAAATGTCAAGTAGTTAAGTACTTAAGATAGTGTGGTAAGTACTTAAGATAGTATTGGTGTAAAGATTAAAAAAAAAAAGACCAATGGATGAGAACAGAGAATCCAGAACAGACCCATATACATATGGGTGCTTGATTCATGATAAAGGTGCCAATTGCAGAGCAGGGGGTAAAAGTTGGTCATTTCAATAAATGGACTTGAGCCAAGTAACTATCTGGACAAAAATGAACTTGACTCCTAGCTCATACCATATTCAAAAATATCTTCTTGATTTATAGGTAGGTAAAGTTTTCTTAAAAGGATACAGGAAGCACTAACCATAAAGAAAAGACTGACAACTTAGACTACATTCAGTTAAGAAGTTCTGGTAAAAATCTCCTAATGAGGGGCGCCTGGCTGACTCAGCCAGAAGGGCATGCGACTCTTGATCTTGGGGTCATAAGTTCAAGCCCCACACTGGGTGTAGAGATTAGTTAAATAAAAACAATTTTTTTTAAATCTCACAATGAGTGTGAAGAGAAGAAGGTTCAGGAAGTAACAGGAAGATGAGTCCACAGGGATGGTCATTGCTGCATACCCATTAGGACCCTCATGTTGGGGGTCTTCTTGTGAACAATAGACTTCAAGCTTCAAGGAGGTGGCTCATTTCCTTCCATCCTCCGATGGGTCTTGTTTCTGCCACTGAACGGTGGCAGAGGAAGGAAGCTCAAGGGTATAGGTGTGGGTAGGAAGGCAGGAGGGGGCCACCCTAGGCTCAGGAGCTAGGAGCTTCGGCGAATCATTGTGAAGAGCCTGTCTATTCTAGGGGGGAAAGACCCTATGATGCATGAACTTTTTCCCATTTAGAGAAGTCATTCTAGGAAAGAGAAAAGATATTCCGACAGTCCATTCAAACCACCTCAAACATGTTCAATACTTGCCTCATTCTAAAATTGATCATGCAGGGGTTCCTGGGTGGCTCAGTGGGTCAAAGCCTCTGCCTTCGGCTCAGGTCATGATCCCAGGGTCCTGGAATCGAGCCCCACATTGGGTTCATTGCTCTGCGGGGAGCCTGCTTCCTCTTCTCTCTCTCTGCCTGCCTCTCTGCCTACTTGTGATCTCTGTGAAATAAATAAATAAAATCTTTAAAAAAAATAAAATAAAATTGATCATGCAGTGGGAAAACAAACCTTGGAGGTTACTCTGGCAAAAGGCTTCTAGTCAATCTTGAAAGGCATGAAATTTATTGTTTTAGCTTTCACATTGGGATCCACAACCCATTAGAATTAATTTTTGTGTATGGTGTGAGGTAGAGGTCCAGTTTAATTTTTCATATAAATATGCGATGGACTCAATATCATTTATTGAAAAGACCATCTTTCCCCTGATGCATGGCCCTTCCCATTTTTCTGGGAGATTTTTTTGGGGGAAGAAGAGGGACCCCACTTATATGGGTTGGGGGTGGCGGAGAAGGGCATTCTGCAGAATACTCAGCTGGATGGCTTGTCCAAGCTGCTGTCTACCTTAGCTTGAGTCAGTGGAGCCTGTCCACAGTGGGTCCTGTCTGAGTTAAATGCAGCCCCAACGACTGCCAGGTCCAGGGCTACCAGGTCCCCAGGGGAGGATGCAGAACACAACAGCCTGCTTCTGCTGGAAAATATATGAGGGAGGAAGGCAGAGGACTTTCTGGAAAGATGCTCTCTCTAAAGGGCTTGAAGTAGAGGCTCTTGGCACCTTGCCCATATCCCTTTGGACTTACAGTTTGGTTCTGGTACTTGCTCACAACATTCTAGAACAAAACCCTAATTGGTGGCTTTTTCTCTGCAGGTGGGAGGGCAGGCCAGAAGTGCCAGAGAGTTCATCTCCTGGGATTAGTCCTTAGGCAACTGCAGAGGGCTGGAGGATCAATACCCCAGATTCTCTGCCACTTGGTGGGGAAGCTCTGACGTATGCTCTATACTGTCTCCCAGAGTTCTCCAGCAGGGAACTTGTCTCAGGTTCTGCTTCTAGGGGAATCCAAACTGAGACACGTGGGAAAGAACATTGTATTTGTCAGCCTGGGCCGCCATAACAAAATACTAGAGACTGAATGGCTTGAACAACAGAAACATGTTTTCTCATTGTTCTGGAAGTTAGAGGTCTCAGATCAAGGGGTCAGTGGATTCAGTTCCAGGTGGGGATGCTCTCTCTGGCCCATAGATGGACCCCTCAACTGTACCCTCATAGTGGAGAAGGTTCTGGAGTCTCTTCCTCTTCATACAAGGATGCTAGTTCTGTCAGACTAAACTAAACCTTATTTAACCTTAATTGTCTCCTTAAAGGTCCTAGGTCCAAAAACACCACACGGAGGGAGGGGTTAGGGCTTAATGTATGAATTTTGGGAGGACACAGTTCCGTCCAAAGCCAGCATTTAGTCACTGATTTAATCCTGCCTTCTGTGCACGAGGCGGTGGGCAGTGTTGAGTTGGATGGTGGCCTGAGGACAGTTTTTTTTTTTTTTAAAGATTTTATTTATTTGACACTCAGAGATCACAAGTAGGCAGAGAGGCAGGCAGAGAGAGAGGAGGAAGCAGGCTGCCCACCGAGCAGAGCGCGCGATGTGGGGCTCGATCCCAGGACCCTGGGATCATGACCCGAGCTGAAGGCAGAGGCTTTTACCCACTGAGCCACTCAGGCGCCCCCTGAGGACAGTTTTGAGATCTTTGAAGACAGATCTCACATCCCATTTCTATCAACTGTGCACCTGACCCACCCCAGGGACCAGAGTGTGACCACAACCCAGCTACCCCCTGCATCCAGGGCATATTATAGTGCTTTGGGTGTTTAGCCTGGGTGGGACCTGGGCCATAGGAATCGCTTGGAGCCTGTGGAGCAGGGCATGGGCTGGCGGGCTCTGGGACTCTGCAACATGGATTAGAAGCAAGAGCAGAGGGGGAGGCTAGGGGAGCACGGAGATGAATGGAAGCCTCTCCCGGTCATGGGCCCCCAGTGAGCTGAATCCCCAGGTATTGACCAAGAACACAAAAGAAGGCAGTGGAGGCCTCTGAAGGGCATGAGCAGCCCATCTTGCCTTGGCAAGTGTATTTTGTCCAGAGGACCCCGGGGCATATGGTCATGGGCTGTAGAGCTTCTGGAGGCCAGAGCCAAAGAGGACCACCAGGAAGAGAGTAAAGCCTGAGGCCTGGAGCTGGATGCTAGGCTCCCTGGACAGTGGGTCAAAAGAGTCAACCAGCCAGACCTTTGAGATCTGGGAGATACATCTCAGGGGACGGCAGGAATTCATTCCAGAAGGGGGCAGGGTAAATGAGCCTAAGAATCCAGCCTCTTTACTACCTCTCCTCCCGGATGAGACAGGAGAGACAAAGGTGCCTAGGCCTGGGGGCAGAGGTGGTGGAGATCTGCTCAAACAGGCAACCTTAGGGCCAAAAGCCCTCCTACCCTGACCTGCCTTGGCCTCATGACCTTCGTTCAGAGTGGATCTCTTTTCTGAGCCTCTGTGTAACCGAGTGGCACTTTATTTGTGCTGTTCTCATTCCTGGGCAGTCCTCTGACAACCTCTGCCTTGGCCCTGGCCAGACAACAGCTGGGGGATGGAGTCCTCTGTGGCCAGACTATGCTCCCAGTCTAAGCTTCTGGGGTGGAGCCCACATCCTGGGACCCCAGGCCTGCTAGCCGGCCCACCACCCCCAATGGTCCTTGCGAGCAGATGTGGGGCAAGCAATCCTTGCTCAGCTGAACTCTGGGGCTATTGAAAAAGCCCGACATGTGAGAAGGCCACCCAGGGGCATGGCTGGGAGGGGCCCCAGGAGAGCAGCAGAACCACTGAGAAAAGAAGACCCACGCCAAGGAAGCAGGCCAGAGAGGCCAGGTGGCCACCTGCAGCTGTGTTTATTGTTCTGTTTTCTCCAACCTCAGCAGAGCAGAATGTGAGGCCAGTGGCAGCTAGGCCCATTCCATGGTACTATGGGGCCAGCCAGAGTCATGTGTGAGTGGGGCCAGAGTCCATGAGATAGCCGTTGGGAGGAAGACCCACCATTTAGGGGGCTTGGCACTCCCTCTTCTGCACACTCCATGCCCAAAGCCCCCGGTGGGATTCATATGCGGCAAGCATGAGTGTGCGGGCCTCGGAGGGGGCAGCCACAGGGATCGAGCAGCCATTGGAAGCTCCATGGGAGCCTGGGCAGGCCTCGGGAGGCTGCTGGGCACCACCCCTTGCCCTGGAGCAAGGTCGGGATGCTGGGCCAGCTGAGATGGGTCAGACACAAACAGGACCTCCCCAGGCCACTTCTCCCTGAGCTGTCCTCTTCCCCACGGTCCCCATCCCCTGCTCCTGTCGCCTGATGGTCCGGTCTGCACAAGGTCCATCTCTTCCAGAGGAACTGACCCAGTGAGGAAAGCCCAGCACCCCGGGACCCCCCTGGGATGCTCTCCTGCCAAGAGCATTAGCACAGTGCTAAGGCTTCCGACCAGCCCGGAGGAAGGGAGGTGAGAGAAGCCTGTGGGACTAGAGGCCTCAAGCACAGGGTGGCCTGTTTAGGCCTTTGGGTGGATGTCCGCCTGAAGCCCTGGCTCAGCGTCTGTCTGTGCTGCCGTCCAGGACGTTGAGTGTGTATCCCAGAGGGACCTCCAGTCCGGGTTCAGTGGGGGCAACACTGGCAGACCTGGTGGGGAGAGGGAGACAAGAAGGTTCTGGAAAAAGGCTGGCTGCAACGGGACAGGAAACCCCTTCTCTCTGCCTGTTCAGCTTGGGCCGCTGGGGTGGGGAGGGGGAGCTGGCTGTGTGGCCCTGACAGCTGTCTAGACAGGCCCCGGAGAGAGAGAATTGGACCCCAGGGCCCCACCCTGGGTAATGTCTTTTGCAGAGTCTCGGCAGGGCCAGGGGAGGAAGCAAGGCCCAGCTGGAGACCTACCGTGATTAGGAGTATGCCAGGCCCTGAAGCCCCCGGGCTGAAGAGTGGAACTTGTCGGAATCCTCAAAAGGCTGGTCTGTGGTAAGCAAAGACAGGAACCATAAGCTCTGTGTGGCCTGGGGACCTTCTCTGCCTGTGTGCCTCTGGGCTGGAGACAGCACGCAGAGCTACAGAGAGCCTGGCAGGTGCCGGGTTGTTCCTGGTCCTGGCAGACAGTTAGGTAAGGCGAGCCCCTTGGATCTCTTGGGTGCAGCCCCAGGCCCTTGCCTGCCTAACTCCCTCACTGGAAAGAGGTGACTCTGGGCTCCTCTTTCCAGCCCTGCTTCCTCCGCAGGGCCTGTGTCTGGGCTCCTCTTTCCAGCCCTGCTTCCTCCGCAGGGCCTGTGTCAAGGAAAGGAAACAGAGTACCAGGTCAGAAAAGAGGTCAGCATCTTGGAGAATGGACCCCCCTCATGCAGCAGGGGCGTGTCTCCCTCTCAGACATCCAAAAAATTCATCACTTCCATCCTCCCCTCCCCTGCCGAAACCTCTGCCCCTGACCGGTTCTCTCTGCTGGTGGGAGACATCAGTGGCCCCCTGCTCCCCAAAACTCATATTTGAAGCTCCAGACACACTCAGGTTAAGAAAAATTATCCAAAACTTGGAAACAAGGCAAAAAAAAACCCCAAACAAACTTAAAGACCAAAAGACTGTGCGTCCTTTGAAATCACCTAATGAACCCACCCTAAGAGTCATCTTATTCGAGGGCAGGTAACTCCCTGACTCACTCTATACCCCTGGTATAGGGCCCAGGCTTTGCTAAGTTGGATGTGGACTTGAAGGAGATCAATAACTGACAAATGACCACCATTTCACTAATGGCATGTGGCTGGGGTAACATTGTCTCAGTTCTACACCCGTAAGTGGGGAAGTGGGAACTGGGCTAAACCTCATCTAAAGTCAGTCCCCTTCCACCCCCTAAGTGATCCAAACCCCGCAAGGGTGTATACTATCCTCCTGCACATGCTGGGAGGCCCAGGTCAAAGGCCTGCAGCCTGTGTAGGGTTTCTCCAGCTCTGAGTGGAGGATCTTTGCTCTGGGCTCAACCAGGTGGGGATGGGGCCTTGGAGTGGTTTCCAGGTCTTCTCCAATAGGATTCCAGTCTTCTCCTTGGTCAAGGGGCCAACGGACAGTCTCCGGAGTGGTGACCACCCCAAGCGATGGGGACCAGGGAGGTGGGATCCAGATGGACACCCTGGGACCCCTGCAGAGCTCCCTGCTCTACACCCTCCAGAGACACCTGGCCAACCAGCCTGAAGCTCTGGTGACATGTGGACAGAGTAAGCCCCCGAAGCCTAGCCGCTCCACCGGGCCATAGCAGGGCAGCACGGGTCACCCACCTGGAAGTCCCTCTCCGTGGGCTCTCGGGCAGGCCTGGGGTGGGGAGCTGGGTGGGCGCAGCACGGGGGCGAAGGCGCTCCTCTGTTTGACAGCGGAGATCATGTTGACAGGCGAGAAGGAGAAGACGCTGGTGGTGGGGGCAGCGGCCGGGAGGGACATGGAGGAGGCAGCGGCCAGCGGGGGGCTAGAGGGCATGACTCCGGGGCGGGGCAGGGAGGGGCAGGTGTAGCAGGGAAGGCGGTGGGAGACACAACAGGGAGACAGCACCAGAGTGAGCAGCTTGGTTGGAGCCCTGGCTTGGGCAGTGGGCCCCAGGGGGGCTGCTGACCCAGGCATCAGGCTCAGACCTCACTAGGGGGCTGCAGTGAGGGTCCTGGGGAGACCAGTATTGGGCAGGGTATAGAGGCAGACTAGGAGGCCCTGGGGTCCTGGGCCAGTAATTGCCTTCTGGGGGGTTCTAAAGACCCTTTCTTGGGGCTGCAAACGCCAGGGCCAGACTAGGTCAAAATCAAAGCAAAAGCAGAACACGCAACAAAACCAAATATTGGGAGGTACCCTGAAAAGTGAACGATGTGGAACAGATGGAATAGAATAGGTCAGGGTTCCTGCTGAAAGCAGCTGGGATTCCAAGATGCTAAGGAACATTCGTGGGCCTTGGGGTACCAATGTTAGAGTCAAAGATCAGGGTTCATACCAGAGCTGGGGCAAGGGATCTGGGATGTTTGGGGGGTACACACAGCTTCCTGTTATATGGCGTCGTTGCCCAGGATCTTAACTCACACAAGTACCCTAACTTCCTCTACACATATGTTTCCCTTACCAACCTTCCCCACACACCTGCACTGGGCACTTTGTTCTCTGCCAGCTTAACACAGGTCCTTGTCACCCCTAGCCAGGGCCTGGAGGCCTCCTGTATCTCCCTCCTCCAGCCAGTCAAGTTTAAAAAAAAATACAGAGATCCACATCCTTACATCTTCCTATTTGAGACCTGCTGGGCACCTAGGGCTGTTCACCGCTCCTCTGAGAATAGCCAGGGAGCCTCCTGCAACGAGGCTCTGGCTGTCCCTCCTTCCTGCGGCCTCCTCTCCTAGGGCTTTGGGCCCCTCTGGATCCTCCTTTCTACATTCTCATTGAAACCCTTTTCCCTGTCTCTCTCTTTTGAATACAAATAAGGCTGTGATTTGAGTGCTGTCCAAGCAGCTGGCATGAGGTGGGGGATTTCTGAAAGAAACCAATGGCTCGAGAAGGCTGCCTTTGGCATCAGAGCACACCACCCCCAATTCCCCTTGGATAAAGTGATGCCTTCAACAGCTACCCCTGTTCCAAATAAATGTTCTCAGCCTCATGGAGCACCCACTCCCAAAGACAGTGCTCACAGCTAATGGATGAGGTCCATGGAGCTCCGAGGAGGGCTGGAGATGAATGTCAGAAAATGTACTGTATCTTTCAAAGCTGGGAGCTCACAGCCACATATTGTAGCTTGGGTAGTACTGGGATTTGTGGGTCCAACTGGGAGTTGCTGGTGGCCAAAGCAGAAAACCAAAAGAAGGCCCAAGCAGACAGATGTCATTTCAGGCATCCCCTGGCCAACTCAATGAGAAGAACACAGGGAATGAATGGGGACCTGGGTAAGACCTGGTTATGAGATGGGACTGACACTTAGGCAAGTGCAGGGTGTTCCCAACTGATGCTGGAAGCAGGGCTCAAGCTACTCTAGAATTCTTGATCCTCTGGCTGAACAGGGAGATCCCAGATGGGGTGGCTTCTGCCCCCTGGGGCAGTAGGTTCCCCACTTCTGACTGCACTGTGTGTGTGATGGAAGAGAGGGGTTGGTAGTCCAGACCCCACCAGTTTAGAATTTAAGGGGCACCCAGAGTCTTTAAGAATGCTGTTCCAATCTGAAGGAAGTGGAAGAAGAGGAGTCTGGCCTGAGCAGAGAGCCAGGAGACACAGAGGTTTAGGTAGAGAGAGCAGAGGTTCATGGCCTGTGTAAACATGGGCATATGGGGTTTTGGGTCCCAGAAGCTGAGCCCAGGCCACCAGGAGAGCGTCAGGCTCAAACCCACAGCCAGGAAGAGCAGTACCCAGGATGTGAAATCATGCACCCTTTCTAAGTCATTTCAGGGCATTTCACGCACAGTGGCGCATTCAGATCTGAGAACAACCCTAGGCAGGGGGACACTGATCTAATTTTACAGACAGGAAACTGAAGCTGAAAGAAATAGAGTAACTTGTTAAATGACAGCTCCTGACTTGGGCTTTCAAACCCTGAATCCTGAATCCAGCTGAACGACCACAAGGACTTCCTTTGCTCTTCTCTAGCTGACTGCAGGGAGCCACATCTTCCCACCCGACCCGGTTCCCCGCCCCCAGACAGGTAGAAGCCCATTTGGTCTGAGCCATTAGTTCCCTAGGGCCTCCGGCAGGGGGCGCTAGCCTCCCCCCAAAGTCCTGGCGTAAGACGGAAAGGTGGCGGTCCGCCAGGTATCATCTGGATACCCCGGCGCCCCGTTAAGGTCCCTTTCAGGAGGAAAGCAGGGCTAGAAACTAGGTGTGCAGCTGAAATCGGCAAAGAGACGAAAGGTGCGAGAACTGCCCCGGCCCCAGGGTCCAGAATCCTGCCGAGGGGTGGGGTTGAGGGGACAGCAGAGACGGGTCACACGACGGTGGTGAGAGAGTCGCCTGAAGCCCCCCACCCGCCCTGGGCTGGGAGGGGGCATGGCCGAGCCCCATGCAGCTCTCCGGGCCGGGGACACTCACTGGCGAAGGGCGAGGTGGCCGTGGAGCCATTGAGGAAGCTAGGGGACCCGGGCACGCCTAGGCCGGCAACGCCCGGTGTCCCGTAGCCGCCGAGGCCCGCGCCGAGGCCGCTGCCGTAGCTGCTCTGCTGCGAGCCGGGGCTGGGCGCGAACCCGCGCGGGGACGCGCTGCCGCAGCTGCGCGCGTAGCCTGCGGGAGAGGGTGGTCAGGCGCGCAGTGCGGGCGGGCGCGGGGTGGGGAGCCGCGCGCTGGGGCAGCGGGACGCACCCGGCTCCGGGCCCGGCGTGGCGTCCCCGACGGCGATGGCCAGCGGGCTGCTAAAGGCGTTGATGCCCACGACGGCGGGGTGCGGGTGGCTCGGGGCCAAGGGTCCGAGCGGCGCAGGCGCGCGTGGGGCGCTGTACAGAGCCTCGGCCACGTCGGCCGCGCGCTTCAGGAGGAGCTCCTGCGAAGACAAGAGCGGGGCACGGCCGGGGCAGCCGCAGGCGCCGGGAGGGGGACAGTCCCCGGCCTGGCGGCGCGAGGAGGCAGGCGGAGGCGCCATACCTGGTTGCTGCTGGGCACTCCGTACAGGGCCTCCGCCAAGTCGGCCGCCCGCTTCAACAGCACTTCCTGGGGGCGGGGGAGGAGACAGCGGGACGGAGGGCCAGCCCCGGGGGGCGGCCGAGAGGCCCGGGGTCCCCTCTGCCCCTTCACCCCCCGCCAACCCCTCCCCCCGGGGGCCTCAGGTCACCCTCATCCCTGTCCCCCCGCCCCTCTGGGTACCTTGGGCAGCCTCTCGGGATCTCCGGGGTGTCTGGGGATGGCTTTCTGTAGCCTCTGGAATCCATAGTCAATGGTGGGCTCATTCAGGGCTGGGGAAAAGGGCGGCGTTTGGAGGACCCCCTCCCAGCGCCTGCTGCAGGACCAAGCCCGCCAGCAACCAATCTGGGAGCCTCGCTACTGACCCCCTTCAACCAGCCCAGCCCAAAACTCTCGGCACACACGGGTCAACGAGGTTCGGTTCGCTGAGTGTTCTCTGTTCCTTTCTTTGCTCATTGATTCAACAAATATTTACTGAGCCGGGCCCTGTGCCAGGTGCTTGGCATTAACACACAAGCACTATACCATCCCATCTGTGGTTCGAAAAAAGGGCAACCATATAGACGTATTAGTTTCTATACTCCTAGGGGTAGGACTGGAGGGAGAGCTTTCTGTCTGCATGATCAGGAGTAACATATTAATTACAAAAGTTAAAAACTCCAATAGTCTCCATTTATCACCAATCAGGTGGGCTCCCAGCAGCATCTGGTCGTTAGAAGTGGGTGTGGGCCCCCCGGGGAAGGGACTCTGGCCCACATCCAGGGCTCTGCGGGCCAGTGGGCAGACTCCTGACTAGGCATCCCCATGACCTCCTTCTCCAGGCAGGTCTGGACCAACTCACCAAGCCTCAAAGCCCTACCCATATTCTTCACGACCAACTCCAGATTTAGTGAATTTCCTTCTGTTTCCCGGGACAGGGAAAGCACTCATTCCCAGGTCTTTGCATTTGCCATTCCTTCTCCAGGACTGCCTTTCCTTTCCCAGCTCTACCTCCGTATTCATCATTGCAGTCTCAGCTTAGCCCAGTTAAGCCCACACTGCCTCCTAGAGGTCCTTCCCTCCCCTCTACCTGTAACTTCACCTATGTCACACTTTGTTCCCAGCTCCAGCCACCCCACCCCCACCCCCTTAGACTGCAACTCCCTACCAGTAAGTTAGGATCGCTACCGATTGTCTGGTGCAGTGCAGGGAAGGGCTAGGAGATTATCTGTGGAGAGTAGGATGGGAACAAGTGGGTGGCTGGGGCAGGGCAGGAGAAGGAAGGTGGAGAGGGTCCTGGCCGGTGGTCAGAAAGAGAAGGGATGGGGTATTCTATACTCTGGTCTCTGTTAACTTCTCACCCTGGCTTTCTGCAGGGGCTGTGTGTGTGTGCGCGCGCGCGTGCCCGCGCGCGTGCCCGCTCACCTGTTTATGCCCACACAGAGGGAAGACTAGGGTGGCTTGGGGGACCAAGAGACCGAGGGTAGATTAGGGAGCATCGAGCCCATTTTGGAGAATCTTTGAAACAGATGTGCCGCCAGGAGATATTCTAGACCCTGGGGAGTGTGTGTGTGTGTGGTGGGGGTGATTTGTGAGGGTGAAGAGTGAAGAGTGCCCTGGCGAGGAGGACCATAGGCAAGGAGAAAGTCCCGGCAGGGCTGAGACTCCGAGCCTGGGAGGGGATTGAGGAGTCAGGCCGAAGAGAGAAACGGAGAAGCTCAGTGAAGGAGGAGAGGTCAAGGGATCCATCGGCGAACTTGAGATACTGGCTAACTCAGAGACCCAGGCTCTGGGGCACCAGGTGGGGCTCCTTCCAGCAACCCTAGGCCTGTCTGCCCCCAACCCCTGTACCCCGCCTGACTCCTTACCTGTGTAGACAAAACGGCCGGGGGCTCCCTTGCAAAATTGCTTGGACTTGTAGGACAGGGTCACCTCCACCACCCCGGGAATGTGCCGCGGGGGCGTCTGAACCCGTATGGCGTGGGGCGTGATGAGCTGCGAGGGGAGAGGGGAGGCCTGCGGGTTCCAGCCCGGGGCGAGGGGAGGGCCCAGCCGCGAGGCCCCAAGGGAGACTGGCAGGGGGTGGCCCACCTCGCTCCACACGAGCACGTTCCCGAACACGACCTGCAATCCATCGAAGAAATTGTCACCGATGACAATGACGGTGGCGCCTCCTGTGGTCCAGCCCTCCCCGGGGCTGATGGCCTTGATACAGGGGGTGGCAGCTGCCAGGCAGGAGAAGAGACAGGTCAGGGGCCTGCACCAAGGATGGGACTGGGGGCTGGCTGGGCCCAAAGGGCTAGGGGTCCTGACCTTCAGAGGGGTCCAGCCGGCGCGCCCTGCGACCATGCTTGGAGTTGTTGTGCACAAACATGTTGTCGGACACGGCCAGCACATGTCCGTCCACACTCACTGTCGTGGACACCACCACCTGCAAGGAGAGTGGAAGCCCGCCTGGCTTAGGCCCTCAGGGGCCCCCTGCAGGGAACTATTGTGGGCAATTCTGAAGAACCTGGCCAGGGTGGCTGGCAGTTGGAGCTCAGAATCATGGGTGGGGGAAAGAGATTCCCCCAGGGGCTGAACTGATAGAAGGGAGGGTTGGAGGGGACAGGCAGCTAGGTCAAGTGACAGCCCAGATGCACTATCTAGGGCTGCCCAGGGGAAGTGATCGCCAGGAACTAGAAAAATCCAGAGTCCTGAAAAAATCGCTGGCTCCTTGGGCAGAATGGCTACTGTTTTGGGGGCATACCTGCATCCTGCACTGTATCCCCAAGGCTCCAAGGCAGGAATGTGTCTTAGGCAAGTGGGAGTGAGAGTGGGGGAGGCAGCCTCAGCCTGAGAAACCATCAGCAGGAGCCCCCGCCCTTGGGAGGAAACTGGGGCTGCCTCCTTCTCTTCCTCCCACCCTTCCCTGAGAGGGGTGTGCAGGTTGGGGATGTACTAAGGGCAGCTGCTCTCTGCTTCACGCTATGCAAATTAGCTGGGTCGTTAATCATGTAAAAATGTCACAATTAGCATCTCCTTAAGTGGGACTCTAATGAAGCCTCCCTTGGCAGCCAGCATAAGCTGAGATGGAACTGCCCCACCCCCAGCAGGCATTGGGCCCTAAAGCACAGGGCTGGGCAGAGAGCTGCCCTGAGGCTTTCCCTGGGGTGGCAGGACCACAGCCTTCCCCACTCACCCCATCAGGAAGGGCTGGGTTTGCAAGGGGACCCCTCTCCCAGGCCCACCTGGAAGCGGCGCATGTCTCGGGGATTCCCTGCATTCTTTAGGCAGTTCTGGTTGCACTTGAGGAAGAACTTGAGGAAGAACCTGAAACGGTGTGGTAGGAGAGTTCAAGGGTTGGGGTAGGGGGGTCTGGAAACGGATGAAGATCTAACGGCTTGTCTCCATGCCCCTTCCCAGCAGGGCGACTCCCCTTTGCCTGCTCACACCAGGCGCACACCCCCTATTCCCACCACCGGCTGTCTCCACACAGGATGCCTGATACACACCAGGGAGGCCCTTCCCAACAACTATCCCACACCATGTGGCATACTATGTGTGCATCACACGTGCTGTGCACCCACGTCACACAGCATACCCCTCCTCCCGAGTATACTATCTCCCACACAGTGTATACTTGTAATAATACATCCATCCTATATACTGTATATGACTTATATATGACCACTCACAAAATACAGCCATCACGCACTGTGTATACCCTTCACAGAGCGTACACAATACATAGTCCACATAGAGGCTATAGTCATCGTACCCATATGGTATACTACCCCCACACAGAGTCTATACCCATATGTGCAGCGTATGCCCATCTCATACAGTATATGCACAGAAAGAGTATATCTATTAATATATCCCTTTATGTTGTATATGATTACCCAAAATACAGTCATGGCAAATGCCGTCCAGTCATCACAAATAGCAAGTAGATCGCCCTTCCTCCTTCTCAGCAGGTTCCACCCGCCCCCCACCCCACACCCCAACACAGCCCTCTTGCGCACAGATCTCGCTCACACATAGCAGGCACATCCTGCCCAAACAGATCTCCCATGCATGTACTGTACACCCCATTATACACACAGCAATAACCTCATCAGAAAGAGCCTATGCCCATCACACACACGCGGTGTACCCGTCAGACACACTGGACAGATGCATAAGGAATACCTTCTTTTCACATATGGTCATTGGAAAAAAGCACAGCATGTGCAGTGATGAGACTGGTTTTTAGACAAGCACATGAGAACTTGGTCCTCTGGTCCTTGAAGTTGGCGGGGGGAGGGGGGCGGGGCTCGGCCTTACCAGCCACCAGGGAGGTAACCAAGCGTAATACTCCGGATCTGTGCTCTTAGTGAGCTCAAAATACTATCACTCTCTGCCTCTGCGCCCATGGGACCCCACAAGCATCCGGGGAGATGCCCTTTACAAACTGCGGCACGCAGGGCAAATGTCTGCAGGGGCTGGGGTCCCGGCACGTGGCCTGCCTCCTGGGCCATTCCATGAGCTCTGCCAGTGCATGTCCTCATTCTACCACCACCCCCTAGTTTTGAACCTCAAATCTGAATATCCAACTTAAATACCTAAAGTGGCCTCCAAAGCCCACAAGCATGAACTTCACATTCGGAGGAAGATTTGTCACTGGTTTTAAAAGCAAGTTCCCAAAGAGGAGGTCCCCAAGGGCTGGCTGGGGTGTCCAAAAGGGCAGTCCCTCATGGGAGTCAGAACCAGTCATTTTCCTTGAGATGCGCCTCCGCCCAGGCCCGGCCTCTTGTCCACAATGCTGACACCTGACCACCCGTCATATCCCCCCACGGAGTGAATATGCTTCTGGGAACCCACTTTGTTTTCCTTTTTATAGGGGCGCTACATCCGCACACATTTCCATCCACAGCGAACACCCACCCCCCAAAATACTCTTATGTAGTGTAGACCTTCTATACACCCCTACAGAGGAGGATTGTGAGATGCGGTTAACTCATATGACCCCAAACAGGGCACCCCACCATGTAGACCCTCCACACTCACCCCTACTGGATACAATGCAGTGCAGACAGCTTACATGCCCCCAAACAGTAGCCAGCCCAGTGCAGATGCCCTGCACACCCATAATGTCACCCCAAAGTGCAGTCACCTCGAGTGCTCCCCAACAGCACACCTGTTCAGTACAGACAGTCCATTTATCTCTCATAATCTGCCACAGTACTGGTTTCCAATATCCATGCGAGACACCTCATGGTGTCACCCGTGTCTACAGTAACCGTTTTATGTGTGCCCCGCATTTACAGGACATAAGATGTAGACACCCCCCATCACACGTGGTGCAGACCACTTTGCTTAAATTCCACGTTCATGGGCTCAGTCCTTTACAAGGTGCTAGAAGGAGGAGGGCAGACATCAGGAGAGGAGCAGTCCCTTTCCTCAGGGGCATTCATGCCAGCCCTTGAATATCACTGATGATGCAAGCGTGGGTGTCCCAAAGGTGACATACACTTCCCTTACATCCACACACATGCCTGCCGCACCCAACCCCACTCCCAAACCTCCAAGGTCCAGGTCTCAGGTTCCTGAGATAGGGCCCGAGATGTGGGCTTTGGCCTGCGTGCTGACTCACTTTGTGACATCTCTAACCTCCATCTCCAGCCACCAGGAGAACCAGGAGAGTAGCAGCTGGTCTTCTGAAGTGCCTTCCCGGGACAGCCTCTGGGACATCCTCTATTTCTGACCTCCCAGGGCCTCACTGCTGTTTCCTGCAGTGGCTTGTCTCCCCACCTGCCTCCCGGGAGCCCCCTCAACATTTCCTCAGCAGGTCTTTCCATCCTTTCTCTTTCCAGTATCATTCACTTCCAGAAATAAGTCACAGGTGGTATTTGTTCTGGGTCTACACCAGTTCCCACTCCCTGTCTGACCGGCCTTTTCTGGCCATTCTAGACTTCAGGAAGTGCCCCTCCCAAGAGCCCCAGGGTCCAGCTTGTGCCTCCGTCTCTGCGGACCTGCCCCAGGACATCTCTGCCTGGTGCACAGTGGTGTTGAGGAAGAATTAGCCACACGAGGCCTGGGCCCTCCCTGGCGGTGTCGAAGGTAAGTCTTTCCCCCTGAACTTCTAGCTCAGAGTTGCCCTCAGTCAACACCAGCGACTGGTCTTAGTCACTGCCCACTGATGGGCCGTGAGGGTGCTCCCAGCCAGATGGGGATGAACCAATGCCAACAGTCCCCAGGGCCCCCGCTGCTACCGCGGTGTATCCCCTGAATCTGCACCAGCCTCAGGGGTGTTAAGAAAAATTACCCACAAGAGGAAAATAAGGCACAATGATGAGCAGGAGTCCTTTCCGAGTCATCCTGGAACAGTGGTTTTCAAAGTGTGCCTCCTGGCTCAGCAGCCATGGGAACACCTGGGAACTTGCTAGAAATGCAGAATTTCAGGCCCTACCCCTGACCCAGCTGAAACGCTTCCAGTGGGGCCCAGCCATCTGTGTTTTCATGAGGCTTCCAGGTGATTCTGATGCCTCCTAAATTTGAGATTCTGATGCCTCCTAGAGCTACACTATCCAATACGTCAGCCACTAGCCCCGTGTGGCACTGAGCCCTTGTAGTGCGGTTTGAATTGAGATGTGAGTATAAAATACACACCAAATTCCAATGACTTACTTCGAAAAAAAAAAAAAAAACCCACAGAATATAAAATAGCTGACTAGGAACATTGTTGTATTGGTTACATGTTGAAATAATATTTTAGATATATTGAATTAAATAAAATATATTGTCACAATTAATACTACCAATTCCTTTTCTTGTTTTTAAAATGTGGCTACTAGGGAAAATTTAAAATTACACTTGTGGCTTGCACATTTATATTGGACAGTGCTGCTTGAGAGTATTATGTTCCCAAAGCCACCTAAGTCTTGTCTAATTCTCTAGGGGAATGTAACTTTGACTAGTATTTGCTATTGATCGGGTCTAGATTCTGTAAAGGTGGTGCTAATTTGCAGGAAAATGATATGATGCAAATGATTTTTATTGGGAGAAGTAAATACTTTCTATTTGGTAGAGAAATTTGCCCTGAAGTTTGTAATTGTATCATTCTACAGACATTAACTAGCTTTGTAGCTACCTTGGCAACTTTTTCTTTTAAGGTTTTATTTATTTATTTGAGAGAGAGACAGAGATGGTGAGAGCACAGGCAGGGGGAGAGGGAGAAGCACGTTCCCTGTGAGCAGGGAGCCTGATGTGGGGGTCGATCCCAGGACCCTGGTCAAGTGCACAGCCCTGGCTGACCTAAGTATCCCCAAGGAGAGTGAGCATTTTAGGATGCTCTCTGGGTCAGTGAAGGACTTGTGCCCAGGCCCAGACCCACGGTGACCAAGAGGCTCTAAGAGGGCATGACTCCTCATCTGGGCCTCACAGGAAGAGGAACAAGAGAGAGGTGAAGTTCCGGGACCTGCCATTAGGTCATTAGAATTACTATAAGAAAAATACTAAAAATACAAGCATGAGTTACAAAGAAAATACAAAACTACACCCAGACAGAAGTAAAAAGTGATCCAGGCCTAATCTCTCAAGCACTTAGCAAGAGCCTGGAACTTTGCTGAGCTCACCGTTGGCATTATCTTGTCTAATCCTCTCATAACCCTGAGGTGGTGGAGATCGGAGATCATCCCCACTCTACAGATAAGGAAACCAAGGGTAAGCAAGAATAGACTACAAAGTCACATAAAGGCCAAAGTCTGGATTCCAGCTCGGGACTCCAAGCCCTGGATACTGACAAGAGTCATGGAAAATTCCCTCTAATTGGGGCTCTCGAAGTCCAACCCTGCCCCAGCCCTGGGGCTGGCGAGCAAGCCTCATTCAAAAGGAGCCTCGAGAGGCAGGCTGTACTGGGACATGTTTAGCCATTTCGTGGCCATTTCCCCAAGGTCACAAATGCAGCAAGGTTGCAAAAGAGACTCAGGATCCCTTGCTCCTAATTGGAGGCCTCTGGCTGTTGTGACCGCTGCTCTCAGTCTGAGCATGTGTCCAATATTAAAGACCAGTTGCACAAGACGAGCCAAGAGTTGAAATTCAGTGAAGGGTACTGGTGGCTCATTATTCTCTTCTGGCCTAGATGTTCAACATTCCCATTATTAAAAGTTTAATACAAGACCAGAGGAAGAGCTGTGGTCATCCAGCTAATAAGGCAATTCAAGGGTGGTAGTTAAGCATCATGCCTCGGGTGCCTATGATTTCAGCGAAAGGTAAGAGCAGTTCACTCGCACACCTGCCCTTACCGCGTCCTGAACGTAGCTTCGCCTTCCTCGTCGTTCCTATAGATG